CCCCCCTGGTTCACAAAATTTAAGTTCGAGAAACTTTTCTCATTATTCTACATTATAAGTACCCAAAAAGGCTATATATATAAAAAACCGGATACAAATAGCTGTTTTGCGAAATTGAGAGCAACTTTAAATCTGTTCAGTTTTTTCTTTTATACACCCTGTAGAGTGACTAAAGCCCTCCCGACTTTGGAAAAGTGGAAAATAGAGGGGGCTAAGCCCCTCCAAAGATAATGTTCATTATATACTAAAGCCCCGTTTACACTACGCTCAATTTTTTGTACGGCACGAATAAAATTGGTACCCATACCACTTTTTTGGTTCTTGGACTACCTATTTAGCTAAGCCCCGTTTACACTACGCTCAATTTTTGGTACCGTACCACTTTTTGGTTCTTGGACTACCTAAATAGGTATAGTCCAAGAACCAAAAAAAGTGGTACGGGTACCAATTTTATCCGTGCCGTACCAAAAATTGAGCGTAGTGTAAACGGGGCTTAAATATTCATAATTGATCCTCGTTATGTGGCTTGAAACAGTAGTTGTAGGAAGTTAAATCTCGCTTTCTGCATCTGCTTAAATCTTCCTCAGAACGCAGGAGATACCAGAAGAGAGTCAATATTTCAAAATGTTCCGGGAGAGCATGCCCCCTGACCTCCTGAGTGTCGGTTTAGCTCCACTCAGTTGTAGTATGTTTACTGACCTTCCAATCTCTGAACATAGTCTTTACTCTTTGCCGCTTGTTCCACAGTGAAATTGTTATTCTCATTAGGAATGTACAATACAGTTTTTCCTTGCATCTTGTGCCTAGCGTCTGTCAGTGACGCCATAAAACGATGCAAATGTCCAGAGAAATCATTCTTTATACCTTTTATTTTGCCGTTAAGGTCGTATTAAAAATTTCAGCAGGTTATTCTATGTCAAAGTAACTGCTTTACAGGATAAACTAAGCATGAGCTTATTAGACACAAGTGTGTGTTTATTTCATCATGTGAACCAGGCTTACGTATAATGGTCATCACTCACCTGCCTCTTCCGCCCAAATTGGCTGCATTCCAGTTATCAATTAAGGATATTTCATACTTAGGTACCTACACGCATGGTAAATTTAAATCTTTCTAAATTTTATCACTGTCCACTGACAATTCCACTGATCTAACAATAGACAAATATATACTTTAAATCATACACAAATCTAAATACTCTCCTATTACAATCGAACCTCTATAAAGCGGCCGTGTATTAAACGGTCACCCTCTATTCAACGGCCAGTTATACTAGTTATTGAAGTCCCAAATTGTTCCAATACAATTGAGCGGCCCACCTTCGAGTAGTCCTATTGTTTCTTCGATTTTAATCTCTATTACACGGCCACGTACACTCATCTTAACCACAATTTCTTACGCATACATGAACTAACACTAAACTTTAAACGAATATTGAGATCAGCACCCCTTTATATTTTGCGCCAAATCCCTTTTTCTACCATGGGCTTCTACCAATTGATTGAAAATATATCTCTCGTTTACTGACATTAGCAAGGAATTTTCAAACCATCATGGCGGCCTCTTTTTACCGCTTACCTTACGTTGCTCATTCTTGTTCTTTTGAACGAAATTTGATAACACCAAAGTCGAATTTCGGCGTACCTCTACTACGCGGCCACTTCTATTAAGTGGCCGCAAAGCCGAGCCCGAGAGTGGCCGTTTAATAGAGTCGAGTGCATGAATTTAATTGTTTCATATTAGGTAACATTTAAATGATTTAAATTTTTCCGTGAAAAACACTGAATTGAAAGGCAGTCCTAGCGCTAGTCAGTCCTTAGGGGTAAATATAGGCTTGACAAACATTGAATAGTGGCAATGATTTAATGATTGGACCCGTTGGTGTTATCAAATCCCTAAAAGGCAAGAACTGCCAAGAAGTGAAAAGAGGGTGAAATGGCTACGTACTTCAAAATTACACTCAAAGAAAAGCAACAATGCCAATGTTATAACAAAGCTGGTACACAAAGCGACCGACCGACCGACCGACCGACCGACCGACCGACCCACCGACCGACAGACAGACAGACAGACAGACAGACAGACAGACAGACAGACAGACAGACAGACAGAGACAGACAGAGACAGACAGAGACAGACAGAGAGACAGACAGAGAGACAGACAGACAGACAGACAGAGAGACAGACAGACAGAGAGACAGACAGACAGACAGACAGACAGACAGACAGACAGACAGACAGACAGACAGACAGACAGACAGACAGACAGACAGACAGACAGACAGACAGACAGAACTAAAACTTTTTTCCATTTAAAAAGAAATGCTTTGAAATCGTCCAAAAACAGAATTTTCTGACATAATAAATAATGAAGACTGGTGAATAATGGAAACAGTTTATTGTAGGATGGATTGGATAAAATTGATAAATATACACAAAAGTTAATTAAAAAAAAGAATAACTGAAAAAATATCATATAATGAATAATTTGAACAGAATTAGGAAGTAAAGAATAATTAATTCAAAATTTGCACTCTGCATGCTTCCAAGTCGGAATTAAAAGCTATCAATAAAAGGATACTGACTGGCCACGACTTATTTCCAAAAATTAACGGTGCATAAACATTTGTCATGATTCTTAGCAGACTCTCAATATGATTTCCTTTGATGGTACCAAATTGTAACTTCTTGCCGATATTTTCTGTAGTTAGCTTCACCCCTTGTTGTCTTATTAAATACGACATTTCTTCCATTTTATAAGCTGGAGCCTGAGTATTAATGTGAAAACCAGTATTTGGATCCACATATGCAATGAGAACTGTCAAGTTTGTATTTCTCAAAAATTTGATGATCACTTCATTATGTTCAGTTGTCCACATATCTGTTTTAAGTTGACTTAACGTCACCCTCTTTTTCAATAAGGGAATCTGTTAATAAAATTAAAATCTTATTTTCAACATTTAGAAGGTGTTAAAATTATATAAAAATGAAATGTAGCAGCTAAGCTGCATGACCTGCAATTAACAGTATAATAATATAGTATCACCTTTGTTCGCAGCAAATTGCATGTTTGGAGGAAACAACTTTGAAAAATATAATCAAGAAATATATTTTAAAACCAAAACAGCCACGAAAGGTTTTAAAACATATCTTTAAGTTAAGGTACTTACGAAAGAAAAAATGAAAGATTTGGGGGGAAAACTGGTCATTATACCCACAGGTGCGGGTGTCTTTTTCATCTTTAAATAACTAATAAAACAATTCTTGAATGCAGTTATCAGTATAACACAAACTTCTGGTTTAATTGATATTAATTCTTCATATCATGCTCAACCTCATTCAATAATTGTTAATTATTGCACCCTCAATTAAGCTGCAATGCAAAATATAATTTTGAAAACCCTACACTATAAATTATATAATTCAATAAAAGTTGTGAAGAATAAGAGACTTTCTAAAAGTAGAAGGTACGTCCATCACCTGCACTCTGATTTTCTGAAAATCATTGGCTATTCTTATACCATGTTTATTCAATAGCAACAAATAAATGGCTTTTAAGACTCTGTGGATTTGGAATTCCAGTGCATTCGAAATGAAAAAAAAATGATCATATGCCACCACAAGCCTAACAAACCCAAGGAGTGTGATTCATTGCACCCCTACCCTTTCATAATTAATTAAGTGGGAAGGGCTCAGTAAATTTCCTTTTCTAAATTTAAGAGAAGCACTTAATTGTTAGAGAGGGACTGATTGGTTAGATGGCTGTTGAAATGAATGAATGACTGATTAGTCAAATGAGTATAATCATCATTTGACCAGCCCTCGAAAACCGTCAAAATTGAGGTCGGCAAAAAAATGCCGACCTGGGAGGTTGATAGGTCGGGAATTAAATTGGCATTGCCGATCGAATGCCGACCTCATTTTCAAGGGCTGTTTGAAAGAATAAAATAATAAAGTAGGGTGAATTAGGACACAATGCACAACTTAATGGGTTAACATTTAATGAGGCTCAAACCTTATATGGACAATATCTGGCCAGATAATCTAGCCAGATATTGACCTCAGCTGATACTTTCAACTATCCAGTATCCAGCCAGAAAGCAAAAGGCTGTATCCAGTTCCCCCTTAGAAATGTTCAATTTGCAATTTCTATTTGTCAAAATGGAAATTGCAAAGTGAATCCACTACTATATATAAGCAATTACCTGGCATAAAATGTTTAACAGTGTGACCTGTACTCTTGTTGCCGCCAAGCACAGAGTATATTCCTAAAACTGCTTGCATTTTATATTATTGCAAATCTGTTGGAGAGCATTGAGACTGAGGCAGCAATTTCCTTTTGATAATAACTCCTAGTTTAACATTAATAATTGCACAAGAGTATCCTCGTCATGAGTAAAATTGTCAGGTGTTTATATGCAGGTATAAAAATCTACTGTTGTTTGCATAATTGTTGCAGCTAAAAATATTGATTATTCTGTCATTCTCATTTCTCACATGGATTACAATGTTTGGAACTGAATGTGGAATTAATAATGCTAGATAAATTAAACGCTTGATCAAATTGAACCTGTCAAATTCTCTTGACAAGCATATCAAACTTTCACATGAAAATATTAATTAGGGATTAATATTTGCATCAGTGACTGTTCTGCTGTGATGGAAACGTAGTAATAAGTTAATAGTAATAAACAAGGTGCATTGTAGCTAAATACAAACCATGTCAAAAACATCAGAAAGTTCTGGTTTCTCATCTCCATTGATACTTCCACTTGCAACACCACTGGAAGACCTAGCACTATCTCTAAACTCCTGTTCATGAATAGTCTCCAACCCGTTTTCATCGACATTGTTCCCTTCCAATTCTCCATTTTCAACAACATCTATCGGACTCAATTCTGAACTGCTTTCAGCAATATCTTCCATTTTGATAGTGAACAATTTGTCACATATACTTAGCGATATTGTAAATAACCATGTTTAAGCATAAAGGTACTGTAAACTGTCGGGACTGTCCCAAAACGTCACAACACAACACAAATTTGTGCCAAAATATTTATAAACAGACAACCCTGTGCAGCGTCTATTTTACTGTAAATTGAGCATCTATTTTAAATCAGTTGTATAATTGTACTCTTGTTTCGTAGTTTTCCCCGTTATTTTTGCCAAATGTAACCAGAATAAATAGCTTTAAGTTCCGTTTTCAAGCGATTATTGACCTCTACAAGCAATATGGCGGGCTTGAAACATATCCATGGCAACCGAAGCGCGAACCACAGAGTACCCAAGCATCAGCAGTGATCCACTTATATATCTATGCTTACAAATTACATCAGCTTTTTTACCCAAAATAGTGTACGAATATCCAGATTTTTATAGGTACCACTACAGGAATTCGTCCAATCTCGTACCCAGAGCCATCGGTGAGTGCTCTGGGTATGAGATTGGAATTCGTCATCCTGGGGTCGAGTTGTAACGCCATCTACTTTAATTAATACCAGAAACTTTTCAACCTTTGAAAAAAGTCGCACGTCAGGGTCGCACGTGTTATTACGAAATTGACCCCAAAATAAGTATGGAAAACTTTAACCGTCACACTAATCAAACCCAATTTTAGAATTCTTGAAAAAATCACCATCCATTGACAACTATAGCTGACCTTCATACAACCTGCTCCGGGTCACTGTAGACCACTGCTGTAGATACTAGACACGGCGTGTTATCAGCAGTATTGCCATTGGTAAACATCCATAGTATATCTAATTAAAATACATGTGAATAATCGTAATGCACTTGTCATTTTGATTGTGAAATAAAATTCCCATACGTTCCTTAAAATCAAAGCTTGAAAATTCAGAGTGCCTTTAATCATAGACCACGTACGTGTCACACTAATAGGACTATGGGGCGTGGACATCAGGCTCAGCTTCCCAGTGAGTTACACTTCCAGTCCTCATTAGTTCATTGAGCACTCTTCCCTCGAGAGGCCCTTGATGTAGCAGGGGGTGTGGAGGAACAAGAATGGGCAGAGAGGGTCTCATGAACTTTTCTTGCGCTAAAACAGCATGCGCATGTACAAAACACGTTAATGACTGATACGTTGAAGGTTTTTGTAGACGAAAATTTCGAGCGGAAGATTATATACAATTTCAGACCTAACCAGGAGCAGCTACGGAAAATGCAACTATAGGCCCTCTGGCAGGAATCGAACCTGCTGCCCTGCGATTCCGGTGGAGAGCTCTAATATACAGTGGGTGACTTGTGGTTAGAGCTGAACAACTGGGTTCTGGTACCTCAGTTGGTTAGAGCGATGCACCAGCCGAATCGCAAGCGCAGGTTCAATTCCTGCGAGAGGGCCTATAGTCGTATTTCTCGCATCTGCTCCTGGTTAGGTCTAGCCTCCTCCGCAGGCATCGCCTTTAGATTGGCGGGCAAAATTTGCAATTAAAGTGAACCACGAGATACCTGCGGAGGAGGCTAGGTTAGGTCTAAAATTGTATGTTAGGAAATTTCCATCTACAAAAACCCTTCAACTGTTAGTTCTATCGAGCGAGATGCCAAAAGATCTCGATACTGACTAATATATCTATTTTACAGCTTAAAAGCTGCAAGAAAACACACAACAACAAATATATAGAGTTTATCAATTGTTACCAATACAGAAATTGACAGGATTTTCGTACAATATTTGATTTGCAAATAAAGCTTATTGCAACAACGTATATTAACTCGAACCGATTATATTTTAAAGTTAGATTTTAATCCATCGTGCAAATAAAGCCTAAGGAAATCAACTATTACTATAATGCAAATCGATCATACTATTAAAGTTAGATTTTAATCTGGACATTCATACACATACGACATACAATAATATTAATATATACAATTGTTTCTATAAAACTGAAAAGGTAAGAATAAAATATAAATATTTCTCAACCCCAAACAGTCCCCACAAAAAAACAGACATAAATAGATTTCCTTCCTTGTCGATCACCTAGAAACCGTCTTTTGACCTAAAACCGAAACTTAATTTAGGTCTTGCACTTTTAGTTTTATTGAGTATGACCTCTTGTGCCCGTTTCTCCTGTTTTTTCATTTCCTCCTCGGCGTTACGTTTTTCCTCAATTAACCGTCTCTTCTCCGCGACCATTGTGAGCCGTTCTTCTGCCTGGAAATACCAATAGACATGTGTAAACAAAACGT